CCTGCCTCCATGCAGCCCCCAGCTGCCCCCAGCCCCGGGCTGCCCCCAAACCTGCCCCGGGAGGGCCCAGCTCAGGGCACCACACTGCCCGCTTGTGCACCCCGAGTTCCTCCAGTCCTGCTGCTTACGGGGCAGGCACCGGTAGTGCAATCATCACAAAACGCTGCTTTTTTTTTTTGAGTATGACTGTGCTGCTTTTTTTCCTCAATAGCCACCCATTGCAAATGAGTCCTCTGTTGTTGTTGTTGTTTTTAGGCTTGAGATTTACTTTGGTTGTGAAAATATTTTTTTTCCAAAGACGTTATTTAACTCAAAGCGTTGCATCACTCTTAAGTGTGTTTGCTTTGGATTAATAACCCAGCGTTTGCATTCCTTCGAGAGCTTACATGTCTTTTGTAACCATCAGAAGTTGTACTCACAGCAGCGGATTACTCCGTGGCTGTCCAGGCTCCCCATCCAGACTTCACTGAAGTCCATGAAATAGCTCATAGGTATTTCTCTGGATGTCAGATCAGGTCCCAGGACCAATTTATTTTCAGAGCAGGGAGTGTGAAGGCATTTTTTAATATTTGAGAATTTCAAGTTCCTTTTAAGTAGAAATACTTCTAGTAATGGAGGACCTGTTTATAAAAGTTGTGGCCGCACATTTAAAGCATAATTAGTCCATTAAATAAAGTAATTGTGAAGCAGTGAATAATAGATCAAGCACAAAGCAGATTCAAAAAGTAAAAATAGATTAGAACTAGAAAATGTTACTTTATTAACTATTGCAGTGCATTTCTGCTTAAACCACTTTGATACATTTTTTGCTTCTGATGAACGGGTAAATCTCAGGCAAGAGCTGACGTAGGTGTTCTCGTCCTCATCCTCTGATCCCGAAAGGTGTTTTTGCTTTGCGACTTAAGGACTTGATTCAAACGTTCTTCACTTCAGTGGTGGTTCGTGTGCTGACTTCGGTTGGCTTTGGCGCTGGCATTTCACCTGGGACTTTTTGCTCGAGCTGAATTTTCCACAGAACTGTGTTTAAACGGGGTGCTGAAGAGGGATGTCCTTCATATCGTGTGCTGTGACCATCAGACGTAGCAGTACGAATTACACCTCGGAGATAAGGTGTTGGCAGGAGCATTTGGGTTGAATACTTTCAAAACTTGTTATACATTTTTGGAAGGGAAGCCTTAAAAGTTCTGCCAGATGTATATCTGTGTGCGTGAGTTTTTAAAAGAAATTGTTCAGTGCAGTGTTTTAGATACCCTTGCTGGCTAGGATGTACTCAGACCTGTTTTGTGCTGAGTGGTACTTCACTCCAGGACCAGTCCCATGGAGATGGATGGGGTTTGAGATACAACCGAGATAAAAAGGGGGTCAGGAGCTGACTGGTGAGGAATAGCAGAGCCTGTGACTCCAGCTGAGCAGTAGGTGCTGGTGACAGCCAAAATCACCAGATCTGCAGATTTTTGTGACTAGGGCAAAATTAGACTATTGGAGCGCCTTTTTTTTTTTTTTTTTTTTTTTTTTTTTTAAGAGAGAGAGGTTAGAAAGTAAACATTATCTACCTGAAGGGTCTAGTGGTAGTTTTACGGCCATATTAGTCTCATAAGTAAATAGTCTGTGTGTTTGGGCTCACCTGTAGCATAGAACTGTCTGCTTCATTAAATCTGTGTTTAGGAGTGCTAGCCGTTTGGGTTACACTATTTAGTGGCTTGACCCTAATGCACAGCTTTTTCCTAAATTACTGGCTGATCTGTAAATATGTATTTTGATCTGGCTTCCGCTGGTTGTGTAGTATTTACCCAGTAGAGTATAGTCTAATAACATTTATCATGTAAATCCCAAGGTAAGATCTGTAAGTTTTTTTTCTTCAAGCGAATGTTTGTTCCGATACACAGTCTTCCCCAGAGCCGTTATAATCTTTTACTTACATTTTTACAAGTTGCCTGTTTATGTACTGCTGACCAGTGATTTTGGTCTATCA